CGCACGAGGGGTTAATGGCAGATGGGACAAAATTGAGTGTGTGATGTTTGAAGCAGGATTTTAGTGAAGTGGTTGGTATAGAGAAGGTAGGGGGTTTAGGTGTGAGAGAGGGAATGTTCTTGAGGGTGCGGAGCAGTTGTAGCGCAGGAAGGCGGGAGTGCATGGAGAAGAAGGAGGAATGTTACGAGAATTAAGGAGCCAAGAAGGAAGCATGGTAGAATCTTTAGATCTGAAGGCAATGTGTCCATCTATAGTAGGGAACAATGAGCTGAGGAGTGCAAAATTAGAGAGAGACATAAGTTTATCTGTGAGGAGGGAGGAATCAGATGCAATGAGCTTAGAGAAGTGGCTACGAACCTTATCACAAGCGCAAAGCAAACTAGGTTGGCGTGAGAAAGACCGGAGGTTGTGTAATAGTTGAGCCAAACACTTGTTTTTTGTCCATACTACGAGCATTCGGCGCGAGAGCATACTGGCTAATGAGGAGGGAATATTAGTTTCACGGATCAGGCGAGCACATAGATAACGAATAACAAATTTGGAAAGCTTGTCAGAGTATTGGATCTGGAAAATGAACCGTCTTCGAGGGGAGATCCTAAACTTCCGTCTAATGGTATTGGATAAGATAGCACGCAGTGATTGTCTCGAGGCTTTCTTTGAAAAACTCCTGGCCACATTATAGGCAAAAATCAAATTATCGAATGACCACTTATACAAATTCTTCCTCTCATACGAATGACTAAGGAGACGAGAAACAGGCATCTTCAGACTTCAGTGATTCAGAACGAGAGCAAAATTTCGAGACAGAGTCTCCTTTGAATACACATTCATTTTCGAACCACGTCTTACAGTGCTTGAGTTGGTCCCTGCCAAACATGCTTGTAATTACAGATGCACCAAAGACTCGTTTCAGAACCTTCCAAGAATCTGGCAAGATACAACCACCCTTCATGACAACAGAAAAAGAATTAATGCCTAGTCGAACGCATTCATTAAAGATATGCATCAATGACATCGACGAGATACCGACCGAGGTAACAAAGAAGGCTAATCTTTGGTTACGAGGTTGTCTGCCATCTTCGAGCAGTTCATACTTAGATGTATGAGTGGGTTGCCTCTTCCTGGCCACTCTGAGCCTTTCACGCTTACCTGGTCTGCAGTGCTTACCTTTTTTCCTTCCATTACTAGCCGGTCTACTATTCAGATAGGGAGAGGCCCAGCTAATGAGCTTAGATTCCACAAGCAGTAGGTCAGAAGTCTGGGATTTAGCAAGAGGTATAGCGACGTAGTTGTGAATGCTTGCCCTTCGTAGCCATGTGTACAATCTGTGGTTTCGAACAGCACCCGACGAGACGTCGAGGGAATTGGTACGATGAACGTGCTCAGACCACCTACGATCTAAGGATCAAGTGGTGCACCCTACATAACAACGTTTCATGAACGGGGAAATCAAACAGTACACGATGGGTTCAGGAGAAGCGAGGAAGTTATACTCAGATTCCAGAAGATACAACAAAGAGTCCGTGAATTATCCGCCCCAAGAGATTTGTTTCGAAAGGATGAGAGCGACAACAATGAGTCTCAATAGGTGGTTAAGATGAGGATTTAGGAGTCCTATCTTAGACGTGTGAAGGGAGAGACATGCCTTAAGGAGAGTCCACAAAGATCCATCGCTCAGGCAAAACCCCTATTCATGCGCGATATGCTCGTCGTCATCGATGTCCACGTGCTGCGTGGCTTGCACATCAAGCCCGTCTTGCTCATCTTTTTTAGGTTCCTCAACTTCAGAGTCTCGGGCTGGGCGAGCCGGCCTTGGTTGTGGACGAAGATCGAAGGCTAGGGAAGCTCGTAATTCCGCTATCTCGTCGATGGTCTGTTCGCAAGTGACAAACGTAATTCCTTCCTTGCCGCAAAGGATCTGCAAACCGTGTTTCTTGAGGCGTTTGAGGTATTTCTTCGTCTCTTTCAAATACTCGGCTTGCTCTGTTGCCGCGGTCTTGGAGGCGAGTCATTCCGAGGCTCTTTTTGGTGGAGATGGTCGCAAGGTGAGATCATCCAGACCATCTTCATGTGCCTCCTGTGCGTCCTGATCATCGTCGTCCAGAGCCTCATTCATTCTTCTTGCGAGATTGGAGCGAGGGGTACGACCTTGCCTCACCAGCTTGGAAATAGCCCGTTCAAATCTCTCTTTGAGGGTTTGCACCTCCATGTCGACGATTCGCTTCCCTTCTTTGACAACATTAAACGCTTTGAGTAGCTTTTGGAAATCGTCCGAGGTAGGAGTCCCAACGCCGACGACTCTCGCCTTGCCTCTAGCAGGAGCCTCAGGTGGGTTGGTGATGCATACACCAACACCCGACCTCTTCAAAGCATTGCCCGATAGTTTCACGGTTCTGGTGAGCTCCTCCATATTCTTCTTGATGGACTCATACTCACGGCGTAATGTATTGACTTGCCTTTCAAGTCGGTCCAGTTCAGCCTTGATGTGAGTTCTGCGTGAAGAATCAGGTGTTGCGACATGTCTCTGCGCGTCGGACTTCCCCAGAAACAGCTCGCCGGCGTCGTTAATCTTGGAGCCTACTAGCGTCCCAATCCGTTCTTCAAAGTTCTGCCTCTCCTTACGTTTCCGTAGTGCTTTTTCCTCCGCCTCCTTTACCTTGCATTTCTCATCTTCTTCCTTCAGCAGCCTTTCTTTCTCGTGAATCACTTCTTGTTTGGCCTCCAGCTCGGACGCCATGAACTCGAATACTCTGTCCAATTTCTCCCGGTTTAGCTTCCACCAAGGTTGCTTCGGAACCATGATTTGTCCCGATGAGAAGTTAGAGTTGGGGTTTAAGTTAGCAGACTGTGTGGAAGGGGGTGCGGGTAGCACGAGCAGCGGTGCCTGCGAGGTGGAAAGCATGGATGAGTTTGCAGCAGAGGGAGGCGGAGACAACGGAGGGAAAACAAATGCACGGGGTTGATGTGGAAAGGAAGGCTTGCAATATGGGCAGTCACGCGCGAAGTGTCCCGGCATGTTGCAGTTGAAGCAAAGTCTGGGTGTCGACATTGCGCGCAAAGCAAAATGAAATTAGATAGAATAGTTGAATCCTGCAAAAAAATTCACAAGGACAAGCGAACGTCAGAACTTGTCGAGAATTCCTGCAGGTAATGGCTTCGCTGATAGGGTGGATGAGAAGGATGGAGGGGCCAAAAGCAAAGACTGAGAATCGTAAAGATAGAAGGCAAGCATCAAGAGCGAAACCAAGGAATGAACGGGCACCGAGCATAGACAGAGGAGGGGCGCAGGGAAGCGAACAGGGAGGAGACAAGCAAAGGGTGAAATGGCGCGAAAGGACAGGGTAAAAACAAACAGAGGATGAACTAACGTAGACAAGGGTGAATGTACTACGACTAAAAAAAGCAAGCAACAAAGTGGTATACGTCGCACCAACAATCGATAAAGGGCAAAATCTTATAGAAAGGGATTCGATCAAATAAGACAGTGAGTAATGGGTTAAACGTAAAGCAGATCTGTACGACAGATGGACGAAGGCAAATGTCGGAGAATGAGCGGACGAAGGGCGGAAACAGATAAGGGCGAATCGAGAGCAGAGGACGAAAGGGGTGGAAGAGCAGATCGAAGAGGGTAGGTAGCGAGGCACGAGAAACCAGTTACATCAATCAGAAAAAGGAAACCGACAGGCAAACGATAGATGAAGAAGAGAGCGATCAACGGGGGGTGAAAACACAGAAGGCAAAGGACAAGGAAAAAGGATCAGGAACAAAGGTAGAAGAGCAAAGGGTAACTGACAAAGGATAAAGGATAAACAACAAATGATAAAGGACAAAGGACAAATAATAACGGACAGACACCCAACAACCACTCTACTGTAGTATAATTCCTACAAAGGTTATTGCTTGAGCCGCAGAAAATGGTTAGAGCATAGCAACAAACGTTGTACAACTCATCTCACGTAATAGTAGTGACTTGTGACGGTAATGGAACGAAAAAATAAGAAAGACGAGCTCAACATCAACAAGGAGGATATCGATTCGGGTTTCTAGGCCATCAACTATCTTCCTCTCTTCTAGTCTTAGCAATAGCATAACGTAAGGTACCATAGGAAATTTCAGAAAAAATCCTAAATACTCGAAGCCACAAAATGATAGCGTCTAGGAACCAGAGAAGAACCTTACGCCATTCCATTATGTTGATACAGCAAACTCAAAAAGGCAGGTAGCTTACAAAGCACGAGGTAGGACACATTGGGAGTGTTGATTACACGAAAGAAGATACAACAAAGTGTAGACAAGCATGTGACAAGCATAAGGCGAAACCGACGGGAAGTATTAACACAGCAGGTGGGGAGGAAGAAGATGATGATGATGATGGGTGAGGAGGAAGAGGTGTATTTTGGGATGGATTGGAAGCGAGGTAGGGGTTGGGCAGGGAAGAAGTATAGTGAGGGAAGGAAACGACTAAGAAACAAGAAGTTCAACAAGTAGTCGTAAAAAATCTTGAAGCTTGAGCGATAGAATTAAATGTCATCGTTGAGCACAAAACCATCCATCATGGTAGTCAAGCATAAAACCTGGATCACATGGAGGGAGGTTAGTAGGCAACAGCCCGACATGTTTCGAATGACGCCGATAAACCACTCATCATTAGGGGCATCGCTAAAGGCCAAGATAGGTAATGCTTACGACTATAGGAGTTTAAATAGGTAAGTTGAGGAGAGGCCATCGGAGTTCTTCGTAGGAGGAGCCATGTATCTCTGCGTGAAGTCGATAATTCGCTGTAGTTGTGCTTGGTCTAGAAACTTCTTCTTCCAAGGATATAAGTCCAACCAGATGTAATGCCTTCGCTGCCGGCCATCGGAGAGCGTAGGTGGTAGGATCGAGCAGGTACTGTGAAACTCCATCTTAGAGTACAGGAAGTCGGAACGATAAGGGTGAATGAGGTAATGTAGAGGAGGGAGGTGAAGATACGTAGATGGTTGGGAGAGAGAGAGAGTGGGGAGAGCGGGAGGGAGAGAGGGGGGAGGGAGAGAGAGAGAGAGAGAGAGAGAGAGAGAGAGAGAGAGAGAGAGAGAGAGAGAGAGAG